CGAATAAAGAATAAAAGCTTACCAAGATACAGCAGAGCTAATCCAAGGCCCATAAATCTTCCCCAAGTTTCTTTTAAGTGAGATTCATCGCGTTCCATCATTGTTTGCAATATCGTACTTGTAATGTCTCCATCACAAGATCCTACAAATACTAGACCCAACGACAAAGCTGCGAGTGAAGCTATTTCCATACTTCCAGTAGTATCGCTAATGAAGGTGGACAATAGGTCCCGAACATCTTCTCTATGTGAGCCAGAGTATGCCATACCAAGACTAAAAAATAATTGAATTGAATGATATTTTCACGGTATTAAAATTAATTTACATCTTTTCCCTTTTCCCTTACCCAACTATAGCGCTAGTTCGCATCATCGCATTTTTGTGATTTTGAATATGTTCTGAAAGTAACGCGTAAGCTGGATCATTTTCATTTCGGACTCCAGTATTTATAAGCCCGATGGCAAGTATAGCTCCAGCCTACAATGAAAATGAAAATATGATTGTACAATAAACAATTTAGATCCAAATAGTATAGTATGTCGGTTTTTTTATGTGCACATATAACGTACTTTAATATGGTCCTCATTGGAATATAAATATTTATCGATTTTTGATAATCCATCGACGTCCCATAACATAATCATACCGATGGAAGCGGCCGCACTCAACATTCCTACAAATCAAAAATAAATTTGTAAATGAACAATGACTCATAGATCACATTGTTCTGATTATTATGTTATAATTATTTTACCATGATCTTTATTTTTATAAATCCATGTGTTACCATCTTCTATTGAAATCAATTTGTCATTTACAAATCCAGCATTAACAAAAGCATTCACAAAAGTGGATGCTAAATTTTGTCGTGCCGAATCAACACTACCACTTGCAAATCCCGGTCCTAAAGATAATTATAAAAATGTTCAATTATAATATATATAGATATATAGATAAAGTAGAGGTTTACTAACTGATATTTTCTAGATGACTCTTGTAAATGTCTTCCGGAGTCTTTGGCTCGAGAACATCTAACTCTTTTGCAAGGGCAATGAAATGTTTCGTTAGAAGTGAATTACTCATTATTTCTTTAAGTTCGTCTCCAATCTCGGGAATGTCAATTTGTTGCCTTCCCAATTGAAAAGCAATTTGTTTCTGCAAAAGCCTATAAAAAATTGTCAATTATAAACGACACAAAATTGAATTGAAAAATCTTATTATATTTTAATAATTCATTTGTGCAGAAAACATACATATCTATATGTCCCGCTGCCTCAAAATCTTCTCTTATCAACTTATTATCCCCAAGGCGAATAGCTAATGACACAGCTTCGGTATATTTGTCATTTTGACGATAAATTTGATGGGCCGTGCGTAAAAATTGCACATCATCCGGAGGTACTAACAAGTTAACACAACTGATATATTTTTATTATAATATTTAGTAATATAAAAAAAGGCAAGTAAATTCACATTTAAAAATTATTGATAATTTGCATTTATACCTAACCATATAGAGACAAACACGCGCATATGTATCAACATCTACATATTGAGGTAATTGATCAATCATCTCCAGCTCTAATAATAAGTCAACAGCATCAGCTTCAGCATTGTGTTTTAAGAAAAATGGGACAATCTCTAAAGCAAGAGCCATGAGATCATCCGTGCCAATCTCATTCTCTGTGCGATAAAGATATTCCTGGCCAATTTCGGTTGACAAATGTCTTTTTTATATATGAAAGAAGTGTAAGCCTAAAATTAAAAATAAATTTGTGAAAAAAGAGTTGAATACTTACCGTACGTATTCGTGTCCCCAAGAGCCTGGATCTTCACGTGATCCCTGCAATCTATATCTCAAAGAATCTCTTTTACCCTCATCATAAGTCATTGCCAACACCGATAAAATATCTGCAAGGAAGGACTATAAAGATACATATACACGTAAAACAAAGATTAGTTTGAATAATTGCTAGTAATATAGATTCATGGTTTATATTATATGATCGATCACCTTGTTGTCACTTGGTGGCCAACTTTCGTAAACCTCAGTTATAGTAACATAATGAGGTCTTAAAAACTTCAACGGTTTTGGAACAGAAGTCATCGAGCTGGTAGACGTACGAATCGATGTTCGAAGGCTTTCCAATGCTGATCTATGAAGACTAACATCTCCTTCCTATATCAATTAATTATTCATTTATCTTTTTAATAATTATTCTAAATTGATCAAAATTAATTGATTACGTTCTCACCTTTAACCTTTCTACCAACATTTCCAATTCATTCTTTAGTTGGAGATCTTCTTCTGACTGTAAACATGTAATAAAGTTATCAATGCATGTTTAACGTTCTATCAAAGTATTTCGGGAGAAGGTGCAAATCGAACTTAGAGAACGAGAATTCCGAGTTTACGGTCATAATTATAACTTAATAAGCCCACCAATGTGGTGTAAAACTACAATGACGCCTAGGACCTCTATCGTTCAATTAAACCTACCAATTCTTCGGCTTCGTCTTTTTTTTCTTTATCTCCATCAGTTTTAGCTTTACTTTCCTCCTTGGCCTTTTGTTTATCCTTACCAGAAATTTCCTCAGCTGGGGGAACATTTTTCACGGTGTCTCGAGCCATTTCTAACGAGTGATCAACAAATTAATTTTTTTAAATTTTTTGTGGAAAATAAAATTACGAAAGTTAATATACGTAAGCTTATTTTTATCGGTACTACCAACTGATCGACGTACATTTTATACATTTTTAAATATAAGATCAATTCAAAAAATTTTTATTCTTCCTTTTCGCCCGTTGGCTTAATTAACAAAAAAATAGCTAACAATGGTACGTTTTCACAAAAACAGTACTTTATTAATTATTCATTTAGATGTTTTATCGTTAATTTTATCATATTCATCCAAAAATCAAAGTTTTTTTTTTAATAAGAAAAATATCAAAAATATATATATATATATATATTATTATTTTTTTTTGTTATAAATTGATACCATCCATCTGATTAAATAAAAAGAAATAATGAATTTGGTTTGATGAATCGATAATGTGTTATTTAGATTCCATAAGAATTGATCAATTTATCTATCGTATTCAAATTTTTTATAGTTCTTCACATTGTCAAGAATACCAAATCAAAAAGCTTTTTTTTTTTTGATGTTCATATTTGATCTATATATAAAACTCATTATATTTTAATTGGATTTATCTTTGAATGATAGGCTCGTGGACCAAGGAAGCATTTAAAACGACTCAATGCTCCAAGACATTGGATGTTGGATAAACTCACGGGGACTTATGTATGTATCATTTTCTTTTTGTATCATTCGTCCATTTTATGTAGAAAGTAATTATTATGAAGTTTTTTTATTGAAAAGTAAAACTAAATATATTTGAATTCAATAATCAATTGGGTTGATCGAGTAGGCGCCAAGGCCATCCCCTGGTCCTCATAAGCTCCGTGAATGTCTACCTCTTGTTGTATTTTTGAGAAATCGCCTTAAATATGCCCTTACCAAAAAAGAAGTCCAAAGCATTTTGATGCAACGTTTTGTGAAGGTTGACGGAAAAGTTCGAACCGATACAACGTACCCTGCCGGTTTTATGGGTAAGAAATTTTATTTTTAAAAACAATAATAAAATAATATATTTTCACGACTTTTTTCTCCCTTTTTTTTTAAAAAAAAAAAGATAATGATATATTTATGTTTATTTAATATTTAGATGTTATCTCCATCGAAAAAAATGGCGAAAACTTTAGATTAATTTATGACACAAAGGGCCGGTTCACCATTCATAGAATTACTGCGGATGAAGCTAGATACAAATTAGCTAAAGTTAAAAAGGTTCAAGTGGGTGCAAAGGGAATACCATTCATCGTGACTCATGATGGACGCACCATTCGTTATCCCGATCCTTTAATCAAAGTTAATGATACAGTTAAATTAGATTTGGAGAATAACAAAATCACCGAATTTATTAAATTTGAAGTCGGACATGTGGCCATGATAACAGGTGGTAGAAATATGGGAAGAGTTGGGGTCATTACGCATAGGTTCGTTTTACTCTAAATTTTTTATATGAATTTTGTTTTTTTTAAACCATTTTTTTCATTCCTTAAAATGGTTTATAGGGAACGGCACGTAGGTGGCTTTGATATTGTACACGTAAAAGACGCTCTTGAGAGACAATTCGCTACTCGTCTTACAAATGTTTTCGTTATTGGCGAGGGTAATAAACCTTGGATTTCTTTACCAAAAGGCAAGGGTGTTAAAGTAAGTATTAAATATCATTTTATTTTTGAAATTTTTTATCGAGGTAAATAATTCTTTTTTTTAATTACTTATTTTTTTTAAATTTTAAAGCTCACTATTGCCGAAGAACGTGATAGGTTTGTACTACTTGTTGCTATCTTAATTTAAGTATCATTTAAATATACTAATAAATATATTATTTAACTTAATAGACGTCGTGCTCAAGCATCGCAACAATAATGAATTGAACAATGGCACAATGAAATTACTATTTGTAATTCTTAATCACCAATAAAAGATTTAGTTTAATTCCGCAAATTTTTATCTATATAAATTTGATTTTTTTTTTTTAAAAAAAAAAAATAATAATAAATAAATAAACAAATAAAAAGTTGATGAGACAAAATAGGATCGATCAATTGTATTAATTACAAATATATATATATATATATTTTTGTTTGTTTGAATATACTATATAAATTACTTATAAAGTCCTCAATATTTATGATTTCTAAATTTTTCTTTATGCCCAAATGCGTGAAATAGAAAAAGTAAATAGCAATTTACAGGAAAAAAAGTTTATTATGTTACAATTTATAAAAGAGAAATGCCAAGGGTTAAAAGTTCTTAATGGGCATGAAGTTCTTATAATATTTGTAAATTAAAATTATTCTAAAAAGGAAGAATCCTTGAAGAAATTCATCATCAAATAATTTGTACACTATATAATCTAATTGTTAGTCTTCTTCTTCATCATCTGATGACATATAATCCATATCTTCTTCATCATCTTCATCAGATGCATACCAGAAATTTTCATCTTGATCATCTTCGGCTTGTTTCTTTTGAACAATGAAATCATCGGCTGCAGACAAACGAGAACGTTAAATTACACGTAAATAAAAGAGAAAAATATTTCAAATAACTTACTGTTTGTTGGTATTTTCAAACCTTCCGGAATGTCCTTTTTCGATGCCTCGACTTGAGCTATTTACAAATAAAGATTTGGTAAAATAAAATGATAAAAATCTTATATACACAGAACGTTCTCGAACACTCACCATGAACAATATGATTATAAGAATCACGATCTGTACGATACAAAACCTAGAGATTCAGATTCGAATTGTGAACAACACGATTCCTACTTTGAAGATTCGAATATAATAATATACATACCCCAGCATCCTAAAAAACATAAACGTGTTTATTAGTTAAGTTAAATAGATGGTTTAATTAATTTAATCTAAATACTTACCACATTAGCGGGACTTGAGCAATTAGGATCCCCCATAAGGCTGACGATACTAATCAGAATACCTTTATATAAATATAAAAGTTAGCCATTACTCTCACGTATGAAATAAAAAATTAAACCTTAATTATGGCATACTTTCAACACTTTGAGTGGGATTCCAACGTTCCTAAACGCATAAAAAGAGCACTTATTTAGTTTTACTTTCATATATACGTGAACCAATAGACACTTTTCTTGGTAACTTACAGCGGCGGTCTCACCACTGGTTGGATCATCGCCTGGTGGGTGAAGAATAGATATGCAGAGCCTTCCGTCTGAATAAACTATAATTTATGCAATCAAGGTAATTAGCAAAGAATATCAAGGTTTATTATAATTAGATTAATCAATGCATACCATTGGGATGGAAAAACTCATTATTGAATTTAAACGTCGGTGGGTTAAATGGGTAATCAACTGGGAATTTGAGAGTTGCCTTAAATCAAAATAGTATCAGTTTTACACTCGCTTTTTTGCTTGAAACTTAATATGGTAGCTTATATCTAAATACCTTAAAGTAACCGCCCTCGTAAATAGTTTTAGGTGCACCAATAATACCTACGTCCCTGTAAATCAAATAATTAAGAATAAAGAAACTTTTATATTTAAGAACGGATTGGAAGATTGAACTTAAAGGAAGCTACCATTCAAAAACATCGTCATCCTGCAAAGCGACTGTAAACCCTGGCACTGGAAATTGTGTAAGTTCTGCCGTTTAAATGATATTTATTAGAGAATTATAAAATATGTCAATTCTAGTTTATATAGATAAGGGAAACAACTGGAAGAAACACGTACCTTTAAACTGTTTCAACAAGATGTTGGCGGCACTAGACATTGCCATTTGGCTTGTTTGTAGTTAAAAACAGCAAAGACGAGAGTGTAAGGACTTTCAATAATTCTCCAAGTTGATTTAGAGTTTTGTTTATTTTATTTTTAATATAATTCTCCACAAGTGTATAAAGAAAAAAAGAAAACAATTTAAATATGTCCCGAACAATTAAGAAACAAATCGCTTTTTGATAAGAAAATGAAAAGTCTGCAACACGTGACAATTTATGTAACACCAAGATTGTGGTCTATATATAGTGAAAGCGGATATATTTATAAAATTTGGGAATTTCTTAAAAAGAAACAATGTGGAGAGATATTTGGTGAGATTGATGAAAGTGAAAGGTGAAGACATCTGGTGAATGAATTAAATTTTTCATTTAATCAACATTAAAGAAAATGGGAAACCGTTATAAAAAAACACTACCTACAAATATTTTGCGCGTCACATGGCGTGACATAAATGTCATATTACAAATTTGTTGTCCTTCTTATTTTTATATAAAACTTCTTATACAGACTTACATATTATTCATAAATTATATTTTAAAATATAAATATATTTAAAATAAGAAAATATTTTTAAATAATAAATTTTTTAATCAAATAAGTGATTTACCATTATGATTTATTACATAACTTTTCAAATATAATTTTTAATGAAATTATAGAGTAGTGAAAATTTCTAAAATTTGGTTGTAATTTTTTATAACAAATTAATAAAATTTATTAAAAAAAAGGTTAATTCTAGCAGAGCTTTTTTCAAATTAAAAGCATCTAAATTTTTTTTTATAATATGGTTTAATAGTAATTCAATATATAAAATTACTTTTAAAAAAAATGTTTATGATATTTGAAGATTATAAAATACAATAAATGTAAATTATTATTGCTACCTAAGTTACATATACTTTATAGTAAATATATCTAGTATTTCAATCATTTTTTAAATTATAATAAGTTTTTTTTTTATATTATTTGTTAATGATTTACAAAAAGTATCAAAATTTTTATTTGATAATATCTTTATAAATTTGTTTATTATATTTGATTATTGATTTAGTTTAAATATTAAGTTAATAAATAATCAACGAGTCATTCATTAAAAATATTATATTTTTAATATAAAGTTATGATATATTTTTAAAATTATTAAGTTGTAATAAAAATAAGTAAATAAAATTTTATGAAATTACTATTAATTTATATATTGTTAATCTGTTTTTAATTTATATAATTATTATTTACAATTGAATTTGATATTGAATTAATTTTAAAATTCAAAAGTATTTTAGAAAGATTTTGAATTATTTTAAATATTATATTTAATAGATTATATTTATTATGATAATTTTAAAATTAAGAGAAAATATATTTTTATATTTTATATGTGAACTGTTACATTCTTTAAAAAGTACTCTAAACTGTATAAATTTAATTAAAATCAATTGATAAATAATATGAAAGTTCTATTATAAATATAGATTATAAAATAATTGACTTAAATAATAAGTAAACAGATTGTATTATATTATATAGATTATAATAATTCTTTATTACACTTCAGATTATAGCTAATTTCATAATTTATGAACCACTAATAAATTGCGACTGAATGCAACTAAAAATTTTTTATAATAAAATTACTATAAAATATTACGACTGAATATGACTGAAAAATTATTAATGGTTCATGAATTATGAAATTAGCTGTAAATAGAAAATACAATAATTTAAAATAAAATATATTATAGAAAATAGAATAAAAATTGAATTATAAAATATAATAAAAATATTTTAAAATATAATTTTAATTTTTCAAATATAGTTATACAAATAGCATAATTCATATAAAATTCTAAATGAATTTGAATTTATATTTTATTAAAAAAAATAATAACCAACTAGATTTAATTCATTTTTATGACAAAATTTAAAAGTTATAATAACTTCTATTTTGTATTAACTTCCTCAAGATCTTTCATTTCTATTATTATCATTATTAATCCATTTTTATATAAATTTCAATATGTAAAATTAAGTATAAAAATTTTATTTTCATATCTTATATTTTTATTAGCAAATTTTATAATCAAAATATTTTAAATTTTTTATTGGCTTATTTTTTTTAATTTAATTATTAGTTAAAATTTATTTTTTAGAATATTTTTCAATAAAAAATTATAAAATTATTTAATAAAATTTATTGTAATATTTTATTTAAATTTTACAAATTCAAAAAAAATATTTTTTTAAATAATTTAAGTGCTTGTTTTTGAAATCATCTGAAATAAATTACTTTGTTTTTATATTTTAGGTTTGTTCTTTAATGTTTATTTATTAAGTTTTTCAAGTCTTTTAAAAAAGAAATTAATTTTAATTTTTGAATAGTATATTTATTTTTATAAATTTTTAGTTTTATTTTGGAATGATTGTGTTTAAATTATCATATTATATAATTCAAAAATAATAATTTTTTTTTTTTTAATATAAGAAGAAAATATTTAATTTTAGTATTTACTTTTTGGATATATAACGATAAGAGTTTTACAGTAAAAAGAATGAAATTCTAAAAAATTAAAATTTTACTTTATAAACTAAGTATGATTTTTTAGTTAAATAAATCCAGATTTTAAAATTATCTTAAAAAAAATTTCCTTCCTTTCTACTGCAAAGTTTGCAAAGTTTCTATATTATTATTTTTAATAGATTTTATATATTAATTATTTAATTATTAGGTAAATTACTAATATTTTTTAATAATTTAATTTTATTTTTTCAATATTACTTTAAAATTTGATTTAGAAGTTATTATATTATAAATTTTATCTATATCATTATTATTTAATTTCTAATAAAGTATTAATTCAGTTAAACCTGTTTATAATTATTTAGTCTATAATCATATCATATTGTTAAATAAAATAACTTTCGACCTAATGATTACATTTCGATAAATATACGATCATTAGAACCGTCTCATCGGAAGCTTTCCAACGAATATAAATACAAGGTTATTAGACCAATAGAACCAGAGATAATTTGATTGCTATTATAATTTTGCAGATTACTACTAAAGAAAGCCGTAATTTCTTAAGCCGCAGCCTGACGATCAAAATGACTGAAACCTCAAAAATGATAATAACGTTGTTAACTAAGTTAACATCGTTAATTAAGTTTAATTAGTTTCTTATGTTTATTTGGTTAAATTAGTTAATGTAGTTAACTAAATTAATGAAGTTTATAATGTTTACTTTATCTTAAAATTAGTAATAAAAGTAGATCAAATATTTTATATAAATAGGGAAGGAAATTGTTGTAGTTAGTGACAATTAGTTAGAGACAGAGACAGTTACAGACAGAAATAGTAAAAGGCAGATTTGAATTAGAGAATTTATTGTGAAATTTATAAATTGATAAGTTTGCCAACAAGAGCTTATTTAGTTTATTGAATTATATTGATCCACTTATATTTTATTAATAAACCAAACTTTATCCCTATAACATTGATCTGTTAAACTTGTGACCTAAAATCCAATCCATCATTATTGCTCTCCCATTGTAATTGAAATATTCATACATATTCCCAATTTATATTTATATATCCTCAACATTCCCTGTACTTATAAATTGATATATTATTAATTTAATAGTTTTATTAACGCGAACAAGTTCTTAAAATTATTAATTTAAATCATTATCCTTCAGATACCTAAAATCTTGCTATATGTGTTGAAGTCTATTTTTCAGTTAGTAGACTTCATAATCGACTCGTATAATAATATAAAAACTTTTTTATAATCACAAAAATCAGTTATGATTAAATTAATAAAAAAATACCTTTATATTATCCTAATAGTAAAAATTTTTTATAAGTACTAATGATATCTTCTAAACTATTTTAGAAAATTTGAATTTTGAAATATTTAAGATTAAATTATTTATTTTTAATAAATATCTTTACATAAATTTATAATAGGTTTTTCTAAACTTAGTTAAGTTTAATCAAGTTTTAGATTTTAAAAAAACTTATTTTAAAAGTTTCAAAAAAGTTTTTAAATTTTTAAGCTATATATTAAAATATGTTTTAATAGTATGATTAACAAATACAATCAACTTTCTTTATAATTATATCACTCAGAACCAAAAATAAAATGTGTAATTATAGTGAAAAGTGATTATATAAAAGTATTTTTTTATAATACATTTATTACTAAATATTGGTTTCAAAAGTATATAACTATTTAAGCATTATGATTATAAAAGGATTTTTTATAAAATGTTTAATAAAATTAGTCTTATAAAAGATGTATTTATAACAGAGGATTTATATAATATGATTGTATAGAAAATTATTATAAAAAAGATCAATTGTATATATTTTGAAAAAATTACTATGACTAAGATTGCTTGTCTAAACTTATTTTAGATTTGGCAAAACGGTAAAACCTTTAGTTTTGCTAAATTTTTACTAAGTG